GATGGTGACACAGCTCATTGTACTGAAAGAGTGTACAGATGCAGCAGCGATCTTTCCACCAGACTGAGCCAGCACAGCTGCGCCGCACCCATACTATGGCTCCTATGGCATAATCTCATCGTGTCCAATAGGCACTGTGTCGTCATTCCCTTCATTGGATCCATTCCATTGTTATTATTGTGAAACAAACGAAAGTAGACAACTAGCTTGGTCATTTGCTGATGGTTCAAAGTACCGAGATAGGCATCGAACGATTCCAGCATCTTCGAAAGACACCGTCTCTTGGACGTTTTCGGAAGTCCACCTTCGTACATTCGCTTCGTGTTGCCCCTACCACAAGCCTTGGCAGCATCTCCTCTTGCATTGGCACTTGTCTTGCGTAGCGTCAAGAGGGAACAGTTCAGCAAATTGTGCCTGCTCCTTAGCCAGATAGCACCGGGACAGCTATAACCCAAATGTTTGACACAGTTCTCGCAATCTCCAACAATGTTTCCTTGCTTCCATTGTAAGTGACACACCGTGTTAGTCATTCGAACCATTGCGTTGGCTACACAGTCTGGTAAATCCAGACCAATTGCCGCCAACTCAGTCTTGAAAGGTCGTTCATCTCCATCCAATGCGGCATTGATCATCCTAATTCGACGTTTGTCAATTGGAACGCCCACCTTGTGTTTTAAGTTGCACAACCAACTGGAAGGTCGGCCATACTCATCCACTCCAAGTTGCACAATGTCCACTCCTTCTTTCAGAAAACCAGTAGCGGCTACAGCAAACATAGATGCCGTTCGTGGAATTTCAATAGTACATGGATCACTTCTAGTGTTGGCGTCCTCCTCGAGCAATCGTGGTGCAGTGTGGACAAGAAACGCGGAAAGAGAAGCGTTCTTCGAACAATCCGCAGCAATGCTCTTAATACCATGTCGGTTAAAGCTTTCATTTGGACAGTTGGAGGGATAGACACCTATCTCTCCAGTGCAGGCGTAGTTCCAATTGTACTTCGGGTACAAGCAATACTCTTGTTCGAGATGATCTGCGGCTTTCTTCTCTCCACGGTTCTCTCTCCAGTCTTGTAGATAAAGGGCAGTGACAGCCCGACGTTGTTCGATGGTCTTGGTACTCGCGATATTGCTTACGTGTCTGTAAGCTGTACCCTTCGGTGCTGCGAATGATTTATCATTCATCTTTGCTACGTAACTTCGCTTGTTGGCAAATGCATGCACAACATGGAAGTAACAGTTCAGTACTGCCTCATCCTGTATGCAGTCATCGTCACTGTCCACACTTCCCGATTCTTTGACAGTATCGTGTTTTTCAGGTACCTGTGTTAATGGGAGATCGATGGGTGGTGATGGTGGATACTCTTCGATGTCCTCGATTGTGTACTCTCTGTTCCTAGTAGAAAGGCCGTCAGTGTTGTCAGACAATTCTGGATGGTTTTCATCACAGAGAGAAGGGTATTTCTTGTAAAAGACGTGAGCAGAAACAAACGTGTCGGCATCGTCGGAGGTACCCCAATCAATTTCGAAGTCTATCCCGAAGCATCGAAAGCAGAGATCTCTCATTGCATACAGCACCAAACAGTATGGATGTAGCCTTTCACCACCGGCTCGTAGGTACAGAATTGGTCGAAATGAGGATGTCACTTCATCGCATGTGCGACGAAGCTTAACAGACACACTCCCAACTGTAATAAGACAACTCTGATCTCGAATCATTCCTCCAGTCCCATCACAACAGAGTTGTCGGGTACCTTTTCTTCTAAGCGCAAGGTGCATCAGTTGAAAGAGACCGGTGGTAGAGAACACCACAAAAGCACCTTCGATCCTCTCGTCAAAGTTAGAGGCTTGTTTGATTTCTTCATGATCGACCACATTCGCGCGATATCGTTGCACCAGGGCACCAGTAGAAAGGCTCATGGTAAGCATCGTTGCTGGTGAAGACACGAGAAGGGCATTAGCCAGTTCATCTGGCGATTTGAAGTTGCACCTTGGTTCATACGTTTCGGGTACAGTAAGAGACCAATGAGATAATACTCTGAGTAGCACATCGTTGCTCCTGATATTCGAATGGCCCAAGAGCTTGGACTTGACAAAGGCCTCCCTTTGATTGGCTACGTAGTTTCGCAATTGACGGGTCAAGTGCTCGCGTTCTTCGTGGTTTACCACCTTGGAACGATGGTCGAGGAAACTTGCATCACTCCTGACAGTGTTGGTTACAGCTTTCAGAATCTCGTCTGCTGTAATTCTAAGAATGCATCTGCCCCTACCTGTTTCGGCAGTAATGAACTTGTGTACCACTGGAACCAACGCAGGAGCTAAACCATATTGATCCTTGCAATGCGAAGGTTTCTTCATAGTAGAATGGTTATGGCTGTTGTTCCCTTGCCGAATGAAGTTGCGAAATCTTGCACTGGAAACAGACACATCACCCATGTCTCGAATCTGTGCTCTCCAAGGGCACTTCGTGGAATGGAAGTCGTCTTTATCACCCACACGACAGCAGAACTTGTAAACTTTCGTGCCATCATTGCGTGTTACCGTTCCGTCGGGCCTCACACATTGTTTGCTAACACCTTGCACATCCACAAATCCACCGTATTGGTCAATCAGTTGTGACAATGCTTCTTCCTTGGAGGGACACTGGTTGCAGGCTGGATCCTCTGTGTAGTCACCAGTACGTGCACTTGGCGTTGCTACACTACGGTGTGGCCAGTCAGGAGTGCGTGCACTTGAAAGTGGCGTTGCAAGACTACGGTGATGCCAGGATGTCGTTGGTGCGGGAGACGGTGAAGTTCGGTTGTCATAGCTCCAGTCATTCCAGTGCGGGTGGTATCCATATGTGGGCTGTGGTGGTGGAAAGTGAACATATGGATTGTACACAGGGAAAGGTCTCGGATAAGGCAATGTGGGTGCATATCTAACTCGCAATCTTGGTGCTTCATGGGAACGTGCACTGTCATCTATTGCACGACCACCATTCCATTCTTCACCATTCTGCGAACGAATGTTCAGTTGGTTGTACGGTGGGGATGGCCGTCTAGATGACATGGCGAAAAACAGCGAAACAGCGAGATAAAACGATTTGGCGACTGTATCGCTTCAATGAAACAATTCTGCGAGTGCAAGCAATACTGAGTACTATTTTACAACAAACACCCTCGATCACCAAATTGGAGTATCGCCATCGCAAACAACCTATTTGGGTAGCCAAATCACCAATTCCTGAGGTCCAATTTTGACTCCATCTTCCCTGAAATGTGAGTACCACGACGCAAAGGATGCATGGTGGCCAGTCTGGCAAAGCACATGAGTGGAACTCTCTCTGTTGTTCAAATGTGACTGCACTGCGTGCTTTCGCGCCGATTCCTTCCCGAGTTTTTGGGAATACTGCAAGTGGACTACTCCATTCTTTCATTTCTGCCGCCAATCCTTTGCTCGATGGCAATAGTGGCGACCTTTTTTCAGCTTTGGTAGTATTTCCTTTGATGCCAGGCCATCTGCGTTGAGGCGAGAAACGATGAAATGAAGGTGTGGCGTCAGTTGTCAAGGGTGATGTCTTTTACCACTGTGGAAGTTTAAGGTATCTGTTGGTTTTTCGTCATCTTTTACAGCGTTTGGGGTGGAGGCACAGGGTACAAAGAGGGTTTCTCAAAATATTGTTCATGGTTCACGAGTTGATTCCCGATTCCTTCGCCAACGGTATGTTATCCCCTCGTCAGTCGTGCCCCTGGAATTGCACACGCCTGACTGACCCAGTCTTAACCCTCATTTTTTGGTCAGCCGGCTTGGTGGCCAATGTGGATGGCCAGGAGTACACAACTTCCGGTGAAATAGACGATGAAGACAGACTGACCTCTAACGAACACAGCTGTGGAAAAGAAGTTCGTCACTGTAAACATGTTGGAGGAGCTTTAGATGGTTCATTTCTGAGTTTGACCATTGTAAAGTGACACATGTTCCAGGAAACCTTGAAGCTCAAGGTAAATTGGTGAGAGCTGGGCTCGCAGGTATCTATCATCACCATTGAATATCCCCTGAAAACACCTAAAAACTTAGTTAAGAAACGCAGAACTGTACACTACTGTTGGCATTGTAACCCAATTAGACTTCTTTGCAGTGTTAAAAACTAATCGACTTGTTTTACTGGGACACTTCCGGTCAGAGCCCAGCGTTTTCGTAGAGCTGCCTTTCGAGACAATGGGGGAAGTCATGAGGAAAGCGACCCCTAGGTATTGCTGCCATTGATGTGGCTAATGGTGACACGGTCACACTTGGCGCTGTACCTATTGACACCATAGAACTATATTACACTTGGACTCCGAAAGATGTGACTGGAGTCGGAACAGTTGGGTGTGTGTAGCGGCATGGAACAGCGAACTATGTACTACTCAGGAGTAAACGTATTATTGTGGACTCTCACTCGTTAAACAAAAGTATTGCCACTGATACTCTACTATTAATAGCTATTAATAGTATTAAGTCTTATTTACTCGTACTATTCTATTAATAATAGTAATTTTATCTGCTGTACGAACTCAGTCCAATTTGATATATATCCTAAAGCAGCGGGTGGGTGTGTGAGTGGCATCTGGATGGGTCATGACTGGGTTTCAACACCTGCGCGCTTTCTCTTCGGACTTTCATTTCACCGACGCCCCTGTTCGTATTCAAGTGAAGTTAGACGCCTGGGTTGCGAAACAGGGCCAATCAAATCGGAGTATCCTTTTTTCTATGCTCGGTGGATTTTGTGTCGCGCGGAAGAACACGCCAAGCTATTAATACATGTAGTGGTACAGTAAAAGGTTACATCAATGGGTAAATTGGACAATCTCTCAACAGTGTCTGATGTTTTCTTGTTATAGATCCGACACTTCCTTTCGGCATTGGCGGAGAACTTGTTTATGGACCAGACTTCGCCGAGACCTTCAGTAGAATCAGTACTTAAATTCACCCAGTCCAGTTTACTACAGGCAGCTTACTACCTGGTACTAGCTAGCACTCTTTTTGTCTTGTGTTCGTCAAAATCACCTGTGTTTTGTACCAGAGCACTTGTCCCGGAAGCCGTTCGCGCCACAGGCTGATCTTTTATCTCCGAGCTCGGAGATCTTGTTTGCATTTGCTCCTCCTCCCTCCTTCCTCACAATTTTTCTTTGCTAAAAACCAAAAAGCCTTCCTCTACTGCTAGCAACTACTACTACTCTTACCAACTTCTTACTCCACTAATCATCTACTCAAGATGTCCGCCCCCATGCCCAACGGATTGAAACACCACCTCCCTGAAGACTTTGTTCCCAGCGACTTTGACTTTGTGATTGGCCGCGGTAAGCAAGTGAAGCAGCACAGTGGCAACCAGCGCTTGTACAATGAGATTCGTGCCGTTGCCGATGACTACACAAGTGGTGACAAAGCTCGCAAGTCGTTCCTGTTGAGTCAATTGGTCAGTCAAGTCTACGAGAACTCTCCTGATGCTGGCTTTGTCAAGAAGGATCCTGCTACCGGCCGTTGGTACGCCGTGGAAGATGCCTTGGCTCGCACATCCGCCGCTCAAGCCGTCCGTGATTGCCTGCACAATCACTACAAGTCCAGTCGTCAGTTCAAGCAGCAACGACGTCGTCAAGCCAAGCACAGCAACTCTCCTGTCAGTCCTGATCAAGTCATCATGAACATGAACATGCTTCCCCCTTCCATGGCTCGATCCGTCACTCCTGATGAAGCCTTCTACGCACATCAAGGCGCTTCCAAGCCTCTAGTCACTTTCCCACTCTCCTCTTCTTCCTGCAAGAATGACCTCTTTTCCATCTTGGCTTCGGCATTTGCCAACAAGACTTGCGAACAAGAAGATCCCTTTGAGCCTGTCCCCATTCAAGAACCTGCTCTGCTGACTACCGATACTAGTATGAGGAGTAGTCATGCAAGAGACAATGGCCGCAGCAAAATGCAGTCCATTCTGCACAGCATTGACATGGCACTGGAAATGCCCGTCTCCAACTTGGAGGATCTTCCAGCTCAAGTACCAGGTTTTCCTGCTATCACTCCTTCTTTGGAACCACAAGTGGATGGCCTGTTTGCCGATTCACTCTTCCAAATCTAAGCTGCGCATTCCTCGCTCTGCTAACTTGCTTGCTTTTACTACTACAACAGCCAGCCAGCAGGCGCTAGCTACATTGCATATTTTTTTTAAAAACTTTATCATACATGTACAACTTTTAAAACAATTCAACGACCAATCAGTCAAAACAAACAGTCTTTACAGTACTATTCATTAGCAGAGAGCCTTCATTATCGTGAAGCAAACCTGCCTCTTTCACTCTGGGCACAGGCAGTTGGCTGAGGCTCTCCTTGTGCCTTGTGCATGCCTTCGCTTTCCCTCTTGTGCTTTTCGCGGCTACTAGTAGGAGTCTCAGCTACTGTACGGCACTCAGTAGTTAGGTCTGGCTAGCTAGCTACATGTAGTACATATTCGACAGATTGCGGAAGAGCACACTCTAGCTAGCTACTAGGCAGGTTCTCTTCCAGGGTGGGCCCAGCTACCGTAATCCACACTGCTTCTTCGTACCTTGCTTGGCCCTCGAGATGACTACCTTTGAAGCCAAGGGCAAACGACTTGAAACAGAAAAGCTTCAAGCCTGTTAAGCGGCTTGAAAAGCGTTTCCTCCTTTCAGAGAGCTGCTAGTAGGCTCGCCCAAAGGGTAGAAATTGCCATACCTTATGTATGATACATGTACGTAGTGAGTTCCATGGCACGTTTTGTGCTGTCAAAAGTTCGGTTTATTAGACAGCGGTAGGCTAAAGAGAGTACCGTAACATTTTTGAAAAACCTCTATTTGCTTGTTTGTTACGTTTTGTGCTGTCAGAGGTCCTGCAGTGCTGTGGGTAATCCTATACTAGCAGCCCCATACCCCTGCTTCTTTTCTGATGATCACCCAGGCTCGACTCTATCAAGACAATGCATCATGGTGTCTCAACCAGCTCGTTCTCTGGGGAGGTTCGGTTGGATCAATGCTCTTTGGACGAAGAAAGAAGAACCATGGGGAGCAGCTCTAGCTATAGCTATTTGGGTAGATGTTGCAAGAGGATTGATTTGATGGATTGATCGCAAGTCACCTTCACATCAGTGAACGATTCGATTGAATCGATTGATTGAAGAATCGAATCGAATCTGATCAATCGACTCAACGAACGTTCATCAGGTAGACTTTCTTTCGTTCGCCTTAACGCTAAAATCGCGCCTGTACGTCACCAACAAACAAACAAAGATCCCAAGTCTTTTCATGTAGACTACTACTAGCTAGCTAGCTAGCTAGACCTGGTCTACCGGTAACCGGTAATAGTAGGTCTAGTCTAGTTTTCGCTCGTCTGACGAATCTTCAATCGATTCTCAATATCAGAAGTCAGAAGCTTGAAGCAAGAAACCAACAACTGTAACACACCGGGGTCAAATTAAAATGCTTCGGTACCAGGTACTGTACCAGATGCAGAAGACTGAGTCCGTAGCGAGAAAGGGGTGGAAGGCAGTAATGTGATTGGCTAGTCAAGCTAATACGTCAGCAAATGAGTCAGCAAGATTCAAATATACTTAACGTACCGATTATAGATATTACAGAGGAAATGTGCTACCTAGTCACCATTTCTGCTTTCCCAAAACTCGAAAACGAGGATTCCTCTTCGGATCTGTTCGATCGATCCTCGACAATGACATCAACCACCGGAGAGCCACTTGACAGTCATTATCTCAGCCAAAAAGCCACCAACAGCACATCAACAGCACACCAACAGCACACCAACAGCAGCACCATGCAACAGCAGCAGCAGAAACAACACAAAATGAAGGGATGGGCTTTTCAACTCGCCTATCAACAACAACAACAACAACAACAACAACAACAACAAAACAACAACAACAACAACAACAACAACAACAACAACAACAACAACAAAAGATTGAAGAGGCACCATGGAGGATGAATTTGACTCTGAGATTCCAGAGCTGGTGGCTGCAGAAACTATTCATCAATTACAACTTGGGGAAGATCTGAATAATATCAACAACAACCCCATCCAGGCAATGGCAGTAACAGAGCCAATGTCAGTGACAGATATGTATTTCACAGATTCACGAGACCAAAGCATCAATGAGCTTACCAAAGAGATCAAAATGCTCCATGGAAAAATCCATGAACTCACAGCCATGGTGCAATCCATGCAGCAGCAGCAGCAACAACAACAAACACAATCAAGTACAATTGATGAACTCACACCGATTGCACCGAAACCAATGTTTTGCCAGTGTGTGGCTCCTTGGCAAAAACAGCAACATGCAGCATTATTGATTCAGCAACAACAACAACAACAACAACAGATTCAAATGATGCAAGTTGCAATCCAAATGCAGCAACAACAACAATTGCATCCAATTCTTCCTTTTCCACAGCCACCACAGGTACAAGGATGCTGCTTACCTTATATCAACTGGTTGAGCAGAAGATCTGGAAGGCCGCCACATGATGAAAATTGCCAAATAAAACTTGATGGGTATGGCAAGCCAACCATCGGCCGATAATATGTCGAGGTGTTTGTTGTTGTTGTCGATCGATCGCTCCGCGATGTCTCCCAGCCACAGCTTTATGGTAGTAGTAGCAGTCGGTCGGTAGTAGCAGTCGGTCGGTAGTAGCAGTCGGTCAGCCGGTGGTATCATTGGTACTTTTCCCAGCCCTTTTGTCATGAGCACGGAACATGACAGGCGGTACTTCGTTCCTACGGCGAAGGTCCCACCACCACCACCGAAAAAGAAAAGCCAGGAAGAAGATCAGTAGAAGTGCACTACGCTAAAAGCTAGTGTAAAGATCTTTCGAGTGTTTTGAGTTTGAGAGAATGAAAGTTATGAGAGAGATTAGAAAGCTATGAAAACTAATCAGCGAGAGAGATCATCCATGCAAGGGATCGTAGAAGTCTGGTTTCCCGCGGGAGACTGTGAAGTGTGATAGAGTGGTGGGTAGTAATCCTACGTCTTTCCACGATCCTGAAACGGAACGCGTGGAAGGTTTGTCTAGCCTGGATCTAGTAGCGGGAAGTACTCACGCTAGCTAAATATCTAGAGCGATGTTTCATTCATCTAGTATGACTAGTGCGGCATTGAGAACCCTGTCTCAAATGACTATTACACGAGAGACTCGTCATGAGTCGAACTCAAACCCTATCTAGGATCGAGTCGCGAATAAGGCTAAGAGCCGTGTTGCATTCGCCCCCGAAAGGGTCACAGAAGGCGCGCCAGCAGTCGGACAAGGAGAACATATATTTAAGTGCGGGCACTCTCAGATTTGGTGTAGACATGTGCGTCGCACGATGGCATCCTACAAGGGGATCAGGCCTTGTATGGGTTATATACCTTATGTTCCAAGTCTGGTAGACTGTGCCGCCGTGGCGGTAGCATGTTGGAGCCGTACAGTGCCATTGTCATGGACTCGGTCTATAGTGTAAGGACCTTGTACTTGGGCTGACCGTACTTGCGGTGCTGATACTGTTGAATCATCACAGTATCGTTGACATTGTATTGATGAGGGACACGCGTTCCGTTTTCCCTATCGTTGTTTTGTTGGATTAGTCGTTGGCGACGTTCCTTAATGTACTTCCAGTTGGCTTCGAACGGACGTTGTGAATCGCGTCACGATTGAACACGAGCTGTGCAGGCGTTGCGCGCAAGGTGGTATGAACGTGGCATTCATTGCAAAGCGAACCGCCGTGGGACTCCATCCCAGGATCCATTCACGAGGTCGTCTTGGCACTTGATGTTTTAACAGCGATCAAGTTACGTATGGTTGATGAGCACGCTCGACCATAGAGTTGGCTTGAGGGTTACGCGTTGTAATGAACTTGCGACGAAGTCCATATTCGTCCCGGAGTGTCTTTTCGACCTCTGCACGGACTCGCGTCCTCTATCCATGATAACCTCAGCAGGCCACGGATACCGGTAAGCCACGTTTGTTCTAGGACGATGGCTACTTCGTTGCTGCCTTGAGCAGATCTCTGCAATCTCGAACCATCCGGTTACGGATCAATCATTGTCAAGCAATGGAGTGTGCAGAATTCTTTTTTCTTGGGATCCCCGACTGTTGTAGGACCTATCAGGTCAATATACATAGTCTTTCCCAAGGGATCTCCTCGCAAGTCTTGGAGGCATCAATCCCAGCTTACGCGTCTGGGTTTGTTCATCTGCCAGCTTTGGCAACGCTGACATATGGCTGCACAGTCTTGCGCAGTCCTCTTTCCAGGTGTAGTGTTCTGATGGTTAGCTCCCGTGCGGTCTCGCCAGGATGCATCAGCACACCATGTTACCATTCAACTAGCTTTTTCTGCATAGTTTTAGGTAGACGATTTTTCTCGTCCTTCTACTAAGTCGTAGGACTTATCCCCTCTGGGAAAAGATTGCTTCTTGTAGTCGTTTGGCTTGTCTCTGAGGAGCTTCTTGATATCGTTGTCGTCTTTCTGACGATGTTCGATCTCAGGAACGAGAGAGGGAATTCGCTAGGGAGTCCTCTTCGTCTGCAGCATGAGCTCACGATCTCGCTGGCGTCCATCTGTTCCTGAAGAACCGTCGTTGTTTAGGATGTAGTCTGACAACGCATCAGCGACGATGTTGCTGTTCGCCCTTTGATGTACCGTAGTCAGGGCCGTTTCTTCAGAATAAGGCGCCATCGCATTCGCGATCGGTATTAGAAGTTCTTACATGTAAGATTCTTGTGGTCCGTATGTACGACGATCTTCTGTCCTAGAAGAATTACGGAACTCTTTTAGTTTCTACGATACTGAGAAGTTCCTTCTCGGTAACTGTGTAACGTGTCTGAGCAGGGTTGAGCTTCCTACTGTAGAACGCGATTAGTTTTCCTTCTGGGAAATTACTGCCCTAGTTGAGTATACTCGATCCGTGTGGATAACGAAGTGTCTTGAGTCAGGGTAGCAGCAAGGTTTCTTGCTGATGATCTTCTTCAATCTGGCTAAAGGCCTTGTCGTGTCCGCTTCCATTTCCACTTCGTTGTTTGTGAAGTCAACGGAAGCGAGTGAGCCAGTACATGTGATCTCTAATCAACATGTCTCGATAGTAGTTCATAGTCCAATGAATCTACGGAGTTTCCTTCCTGTTGGTAGGAGAGCGATATTTGATCGCTCTTATTTTCTTGGTTATAGGTTGGATCCCTTCTCGAGTATCCAGTAACCTAGGTACTCAAGTTCTCCTCTTGCGAAAAGGACTGGGTAGCATTGATCTTAAGTCCGGTTTCTCGAACCTTCGGAGAACTCATCCAACTTCTCAACGGATCTGCTAGATGAGCGTTAGTTAGGATGAGTAGTTCTCAATGTATGCACGGAGGTATTCTAGGTCGTGCATTAGTGTTCCATCTTCCCTTGAAGATGTCGGGACAATTACATAGGCCCATTGGCAACCTCTGGTACTCTTCTTTCCCCACGGAGTACGATGGTAACAGAGTTGCTTCGAGTGAGGTGACAGCTCGATGTGAGTATCCCATGTTCAGGTCAAGACTAGTAGCGTACTTGAACCATCTAGATCAGAGGCATGTCTGTATTTTGGGATAGGATAAGGCTTCCGCTTAATCCTTTTAGTTCAGATTCCCGTAATCAGAGATGAAATCGTACAGAATCCGTCTTTCTTGGGATAATGATGAAAGTTGGTGGCCGCCCACTCGGAACGGTTTACCTTCTTGAGTACTCCTGCCGTGCAGAGACGTTCAACCCCATCTTAAGAGTGCTTGGTGTGGACCCGTGGATAGGTTAGCCCTAGTATAATAGGGTTTAGCATCAGGGAGAATTCAACTTCGTAGTCGTCCATCTGCCACTTTCCTCAAAGTACCATCGAATTGGTCATAGTACTTCGTCAGTAAGAGATGAAGCTGTCTTTGCTCTTCCGTTTTAAACTGTCTTGACTTTGGAAACCTGTTAAGTCAGCGTTCGTATTTGCATCAAGATCTTCTTGGACGATCTGAACTGTCATCGACAGCGGCAGGATCAGGAAAGAAAAAGTTTCTTCTTCATGGTTCGCTATCTTTCATAGGAATAGTGCGCCGTCCCATTCCACGACATGGTAGTGAAATCGGACTTGAAACCTAAGTCAGAGAGAAAATCTCGACCTATGATCATGTCATACGCCCCAAGCTCTTGGTGACGTGTAGGCCCACTCGATAATTCTATCTTCTGGAATTCAGGAACCATAAATGCACCTTTGCATTCTGCTGGTGTTTAATTTCTGCAGGGGTAGTCCAAATCGTTTGGACGCACCCAAGATCTTCATGCGTAATTTCTTAAGCAATGAGGTGAGCAATCAAAGTTCCGATGCTCGCTCCTGTATCCAGTAAGTAAGGAGTGTAACGGGTTTGGGTTTCCTTTTTCGTGTTAAATCTAACTAAACGATCGGTTTTGAGTGTCTCTGTCTTGCACTTTACGAGTGGTTGGCCACGGACGAGGTTAACGATGCTAAATAGATCATCAGAGTCTAGTTGAGCACTTCTAGGCAATCATCTAATTTGCCGTAAGAGTTCATCAGTTGCAAACATTTCTTGTTTTACTAGTTAGTAGATATCTCTCATCACTTATTTATGAGAAACGAACATGGTCCGTGAGTCATCATCATGGCAATCCTCAGGATAGAAGATTCTCTCCATCCAAGTGATTGAAATTGATAGAGGAGTGTCCTCATTGTCGAGTTTCTGATTTGCGTTTGGCAAAATGGTTGCGAAGTTTGCAAGTGGTTGCACGGTATCGTCGATTTCGTTTTGGTCGTCATTGTCGACGAGAGGAAGAATGGGTTTGTCACGCAACTGTTTTCGAAGTTGCGGAACGCATGCTTTCCTTGAGCCATCTTCATGGTGAAGGAATAGATTGAGGGTAGCTGAAAGCTATTGTGTTTGTTAACAAAATGCACTACGCTAAAAGCTAGTGTAAAGATCTTTCGAGTGTTTTGAGTTTGAGAGAATGAAAGTATGAGAGAGATTAGAAAGCTATGAAAACTAATCAGCGAGAGAGATCATCATCAAGGGATCGTAGATCTGGTTTCCCGCGGGAGACTGTGAAGTGTGATAGAGTAGGTTGTGGTAGTAATCCTACGTCTTTCCACGATCCTGAAACGGAACGCGTGGAAGGTTTGTCTAGCCTGGATCTAGTAGCGTGGAAGTACTCCACGCTAGCTAAATATCTAGAGCGATGTTTCATCATCAATCTAGTATGACTAGTGCGGTCATTGAGAACCCTGACTCAAATGACTATTCACGAGAGACTCAGTCATGAGTCGAACTCAAACCCTATCTAGGATCGAGTCGCGAATAAGGCTAAGAGCCGTGTATTGCAGAAGGATGCGACAACAGCAACAAGAACGATCGCTCCCGTTGCTGTCACTGCTTCGTCATGGTGATCATCTTGATAGAGTAACGATATCGAAATAATGAATTTTTGACTAGCTAGTTCCTCAAAATAATGAATATTGACTAGTGTTCCTTCGTTCACCACGACCGAAGCGTTGGATCCCTCTCTACAAGTCGTACGGCCAAAGCGTTGGTGCGACAGGCGTCGATCATCGATCCGTATCAAGCCTCACTCAATCCGACCGTCTCCGGTTCAGAGCAGAAAGCCATCCTCATTGAAATCACATCAGCTTGGGAAGGTTTTCTTTTCTGGGCCGCCGACAGTCAAGTTGGAGTGGGAGGGTTTGGTCGGAGCAAAGGATGGGAAAAGAGGAAAAGAGAACCGACTGCCATTTGAATGATTTGAATTCTGTTGTGGGAACAATGTGAGACCAGCCGACAGCCAGTGACGCATTTAGTGATGTGTCAATGTCTGAAGAACAGACTTTGCCCGCTTGATTGAAGGGGGAGATGACCTCTTTGTTAGAGTAAACATACAATGACTGCCTTTTCCCCTCTTTCAATATGTTTACTATATGTATTCCGTGTCATTCGATGACTGGATCTTTGCTCTCGATTCGGAATCTGGAATGTAACCCTCACCCTTTTCTTCTTTTTTTTCTTTTTCCCTCCCCCGCGCTGCTGCCTAACCCCCCCATAAAGTCAGCCGTACAGCTGTAGCCCGAGTAGACACCACCTTTTATTAGTTCGCAGTCTCTGAAGGGCTGACCTTGGGTTGAAGGGTGGTGTGACGTACTAAGTTCCGGTATGGCCTTTGTTCAAGCGCCGACTAATTTAATTAACATACGATGTCGTAAGGATACTTCTTCTACGACAACGTCACAAAAAGATGCACAAACTGTGGGAGAACAACACTCTTTACCTGAATACCAGATGGCGCTGGAGGCATCAGACACGTTCATCAGCCCTCTTTCAGAAGCGAATTTGACGTACGTCCACAAAAGGTTTTGGTGGATCGCTACTCCGGAGTACACTAGTACGAAATCAACGCTCAAATAATAGTACCAGTATGAAACAGAATCAAGAAGAACCGCTCGCTATCAAAGTTGCAGTACTAACTCCGCTTCAAGGCATGCTGGTCCTACTGTATGCATACTACTAGTATCTAGCTAGCTAGCTAGCTAGGTAAGCCATACATGTATTCTAAAGGTACATCGTACCTTTTAGTAGACTAGCTACAGCCGTGGCTAGTACTCTGCAACGCTTTTTGCAAACGGTGCCATGCTCGGTGCCGCATAGTGACAAATAAACCACAAGACGAAAAGCAACTACTCGATTATACCATACCCTCACACTCACATACCATAGCATACCCAACCAAGAAGAAAGACTACACGATGGCAGACCAGCCACAATCATTCCCAGCATTGCTGCACACGGTGTTGTCTGATGCAGCTTCTGGTTCAGCCCCTGAGCTCGGTGAGTATACTAATATCAATCTTATTTTGAGAACTCTCCATTTGTCTGACCATCAGAAGATCATAAGGAGTGCTGAGAGTTGCTGACCATCGTCTACATCTTGGGGTTGTTTTCCTTGCTGGGTTTATCATATCATACAGAAGCTATTGTGTCCTTTCAGGACCACGGTCGGGCTTTTCGGATTCATAACCAAGAACTATTTTGTGATACAGTGCTGCCACTGTAAGTTGCACAGTCACTCCTCAGATCTTGACTTCCACCTTAGCCAGTCTACTCAACACTCACTGCGTGCTGTGTGCTGCATGGCTTGCCCATCCCAGTCTCTCTTTGGAACCAATGGAATGGGATGACTTCCTCGCAAATCTCGCCCGTTTTGGTTTCCACCGTCTCACCAATGGTATGTTTGTTCATGAGTTTCAGTGCGCCTCACTCTCATCTCTCACACAAACACACTCTCTACTGCGTCAGCTGGACCAGACCAAGGAGGTATGAATGCAATGCGTACTCGTCGCTTTCTTTCCTGTCCTGTCTATCGTATGCACTGGCATCTCCGCTCACTCCAGAACTCTTCTTCACTCCACTCCATGGAATGACTGGAACCAATGGCTGGCAGCCTTCTACCATGAGCTCTTCTTGCGTAGCCAGCCGCAGCTAGTAGTGGGCATAGTGCGCGATGATGAGTTGCAGATTGATGAATTGGATTGCCCTGGGCCAGACTTTAGCACCATGCCCGCGATGGCTCGCGTTGTCAGGGCTCGGGATCCTCCTAGTATTAGGTTGATGACCGCGGAAAGCAGAATGATTGCAGGACCTGTTGTGGGTGCACCAACCCTTCCTTTTGGACATGCTACCTTGTATGGATTGCTGCGAGACATCATTCCAAACAACCCTCGTCTTGTTGAGGATGAAGAAGAGGAGGATATCATGGAGGATGTTGTCCCGGATGTGGATGGTATTTGAGGCGTCTGTTTATTCAGACAAAGTTGATACATGCACATTTATTCAGACATTCACATACATGGAAATGACGCAGTGGATACGGTAGGGTAGGATACAGCCTCGATTGAATCGAGGACGCAGCCCACACTCGACTCGGCTCGACTCGCGGTAGCTCAGTAGTCTAATAAGAACAGCTAGACTAGCTAGCTAGTGCCGATACTGATATCGATATCTTATAGCACATCTGTACTTTGTATTTTGTATAGGTGCCGTATCAAGTAAGTTTCGGGTTGAACGGGCATGACCCATGGTTGGCGGCAGTCTGGTGGGGCGACGTTTCTGCGAATCACTTCGTGACAGGCAACGGCCGCACCTCGTCGGGACGTGTGTGGCAGTGTGACTTCTTGTCCGAGCTGCGATGATCTGATTTGTTTTCCACTCGCAATATCGATTGTAGAGCTAAAGGCTAGCTAGCCATGGATTAGGTATTTATTTCGTCCGCGGCCATCCAGAGCTTTCTCCCCACGACCGACCGAGCCGAGTTAGTAGTCCTTGAGTGACAGTCCAGTGTGTGTATACCGGTAAAATAAATGATCAGAATGCCGGGGCGCCGTTTACGTGTGTTGCTTCAGGTTGACTGCAACGAGCAAAGTTGTAGTTGTACATATTACAGTTGCACTCGTATTCGGAGCCATTGATCTTTCGTACACTGCAACCTATCTAGCTAGTACCGATACCGGTGGGAGCAGCGGTACAGTATCGTACGAGCGAGAGTTCTGAGTCAGAACTTCTGACCCTTTGGCATCGAATCTATTCGGTTGATTCGATTCAATCGAATCATCCGTGCTTTTGGCGCTTCTGCGTCATGGTTGCCAGCACAGCGTGGAAAGTGCTTCCGACCATTCGGGATCTCTAAGTATCTTTATCTGGCAAATGGCCGGGCTCACTTGCATGCCTTCCGAACAAGCAACGGCCAGAGTTCGAAGCAGCGACATCGACATCAGCGGGTCAATTGCTGGTTTCAAAGAAAAAGAAACAGGAGGGGTAGCACAGTACAGTACAATACCCGCAGGCTGTCTTTGCCACCACATCTTTGGGGCTGCAGGTATACTAGCTAGTGTAGTGTACCGTTTAAGCTTGTTGTTGTATGCTGAAAGGGAATACAGCAGCAGGGCCTCAGCGACGCAAGACGAGACGAGTCTTCCTTCCTTGGCACTTGGCAGTGTTCGAGTAGGTTGGGAACAAAAGATCTTAAGAGGAAAGATCTTGCCTAGTAGCTACCGGTAGCTATTAATAGTTGGCCTAAGTCACTCAGCTCAGTCAGTCAGTCACTCAGCTATCAGGTCACTTCAGTTTGTTTTGTCAGTTCCTGAGATATTGCAATTGCTACCTTGCTACCTGCTAAGATATCTATTCTGGGAATCCCTTGCTGAATTCTGGCTCAGCTGATCTTCTGAAGATTCTGGTTTGATCAGCTCAGGTCAAATCAGCTTAAGTTCTGCTCAGTAGGTCAGGTTTGATCAGCAGCAGTTTCAGGGCTTGTCAGTGTCAGGAAGCCAAGCCTTGGAAGATCCCAAGTCTGCAGTTGGATTGGCATCTTAAGTAGGTTCAGGTTCAGATTCAGGTCCAAGTCCAATAAGTCAAGGGAATCTGAGAGCCTGAGAAGAAAGCCAGTGCAGTGAAAGGTCAGTCTCTGTTGCCTTCAGGGAGACTTAAGCAGTTGTATCCATCAATCAATCCATCATGGCCACTGTGGTGACAATCTCCATGAATCAGTTGCAAGGACTCCTGGATGCTCAGACATCCCAATTGGAGTCCATTGTCAGCGCCAAAATGAATGCGCTAGAATCCAATATAGAAGAAATTGTCGATCAAAAGCTACAAGCCAAACTACAGCAAGCCAAGGGAGAGTTCCAACAGTTCGTCCTGGAAGCCATCGAACAAGAAGACATCGACATTCCTTCCGAAACAAAACAGCAAATTCAAGAAATCAAACAACACATTCTCGCTACCGAACAATCCGTCAGTAGACTTGTCTTGGGCTCCTCGGCAGCAGAAGCCAAGGAAGAAATTGAAGTCGAATTGGATCCCCTCACGCTCATGCCCGCAGTCTCCTTTCCACCTCCACCTTCCAGTATCCGCAGAAACATAAGTGCTGCCAGTTCCATCAATACCACCAATGTCATGGAAAAAATGGTCACGGATCTGTGTTCCAGACTCGAGGAACTCGTAGATGATCGGACCAACCACATGCTCAAAAAAGTAGAAAAGCAAGTGGCCGCCGGCACCGCTAATAGTGGTGCATCTACTCCCAACAACAGCAAAAACAACAACAACAACAACAACAACAACAACAACAACAACCCCATGACATCGCTCAAACCCAACGTCATTCGACGCAGTGCTAGCAGTGACAGTGCCAAACAAAACTCGGTGGCACATGCCACTGCCATGGCCATGCGCATGAACTTGCATCAAATGGACGAACTGCTCACCAAACGAATGGTCGCCATGGAACAATTCATTGATTCACGACATGCAGAATTAGAAGCATACGTTTCCAGTACCAGCGAGCAACTACACAAATCCATGGCAGAGACGCTAAAGAAACATGCACGCCACAATCGCGCACTCACAAAGGAGGAATTGGAACAAGTGTTGGATGCCAGAATACAAGATGTCGAAGAAGAAGAAGCGGAGCAACAACAACAACAGCGACAACAACAACAATCAGCAACAACAACAAGCACCAGCCGAATCCAGCGAACAGCAAGACAGCAATACGGTAGTCCATCAGGCACTGGAAAAACTCATTCAAGTGCAGCAAGAATGGATTGCCGTACAAACATCCACACAGGATCTCGAAATGCAAGTACAGGAAAAACTCGAAATTTTGCAAGAGAATCGCTACGAACAACAAGATCTGCTCAATCAACCCACACTGGAAATTATGCGCAAAATTGCCTCCAAACTCGAATCGTTGGAACAATTGGTCTTGGCCACATCCGTAATGACGCCCACAACGCCCGTAGTCAGCAATAAAAATGCCATCAAGAAGAAACAACGGGCATCGACCAGTGGACACCGTAAATCGAGTTCCAACCACAAGTCAGCAACAAACAACAAGGGGTTGGCTCAAGTCATCTCCAACCATGCCAGTAAAAAGGGTATCGATGACACCAGCACCAACGTTGCAACGAATGCCAGCACCGTTGTCGCTGCCAATGATCAAAACAACTCTTTGTCGCGTGCTTCTTCTCGAGTGTCCAACGCCTACATGGACGTTTCGGTGGATGGAAGACGCATGGAAGAAGACGAAGAAGGAAAAGACAGCAATGACAATAAGAAGGACGACGACGACGAAATCATTAGTGACAGCGACGATGAAAACAACGACAAGCAAAACGGCGGCGAAACGGGTGGCACCAGTCGGGTCAAAACCTTTATGAATACTCTTAGCAATTGGAAGGAACTCAACGAGAAAGAAAAAGACGCACGACGTGGCGAGAACGACGACGACGACGACGACGACGAGGACAAGGAGAATCGTGAGAAAGATGATGCCATTCTTGAACTTGACACGGATATTGACGAAGGAGATGATGATATTGATAGCAATGCCAGTGCTGGTACCGGTATTAGTGTCGATTCGTCCGTCGGTGACATGGGCGACAACAAGGACGTGGCCATGGCAATGGAACGCCTCGAAGATAAATTGGATGATCTGGAAGACAAAGTCCATCGTCTTTTGGTGGCCACAGGAAATCATCACGTCATCGACCACACTGCTGTTGGAGTACCGAGTGAACGATCCACCAATGCGAAACACAGCCGACTTCGACAATACAGCTCCGCGGAAGATGTCCAGCAGATGGTCTTTGCTGCGCACGACGCGCTGAAACGAGATTTGAAGCATTGGCTGTCGGAGCAACAACAACAACATGACGAAGACCTCCTCGCCTTGTCGGCACAGTCGCAATCTGCAGGGACAACGGACATCTCCGATGACGAACCGGCGTCATCGCCTTCGGGACGACAAAATCGGGGCAACAACGGAAGCAATGGCAGCAAGCATAAGGCCATAACTGCTGTGCTGGGAACAGAGCAACTCAATGTATTGACGGAAAAGCTAAAATCAATCGAGATCCTCGTTTCGACCAACCAATCTTTCCTGCAAGAGCAACGTCGCCTGGCCGCGCCTCCCGTGCCAAAGGAGCTGCCTTTGCAAAAGGATGTCGCTCCAACTATTGAATTGGAACGCAAGATTTTGAACCATTTGGATACCATGGATAAGTCGGTTCAATTCAAACTGGATGAGATTTACGGCGAATTACAGCAACCGTCGCGTCGACGGAGTAGTGCTGGGGTGGTCGTATCCTCTGCTGATGCCGATTTAGCCCTGTTGTCTCCGCAGGATCAATCAGCAATTGTGGAAGCTATCATGGAGCGGTTGAAGCAGATACAAGACGCGATAACGAGACAGTTGAAGGAGTCAATTCCGGATTACGGGAATGCCAAGTCGATAATTGGAGAAAGTTTGGAAGAAATGAGGCAAATCGTGTCGGAGGTTGCTATTTCCGAAGTTGAATTGCTCAAGACTCAGTTGGGAGTAGCGGAGGAGGCCGAACAGGAAGCTTTGCATGCTGTTGTGGTCCTTCGGGATCAGCTCGAAGAGTCCAAAGAACAGGAACGACGATTGCTCTATGCCAACGCACCAAGGCCGCCACAAACTCCCGCAACTCAAACGCCGGGCAACATATTCAATTTCGGCGCCTTTGCCAAACTTGGACTGGGAAGCATTGCCGCCGCTGCGGTTGGTCCTCCAGCACCCCCTCAACAGCGTTTGACGGCCGCTCCTGAAAGATACCGACATCGCAAGATGAGCATTGGGCAACAGAGCAATGTATCAGCCTTATCTCACCCGCATCATGGGTCCGCCGGTAGTTTGTGGTCGCATCCCAATAACATGAACACTTACGTGACCAGCGGCAAACGAAAGTCGCCCCAACAAAAGTTAGAAGATTGGAAAAGCCAGGTTGCGAGTCTGGAAGATAAAGCGACCGATCTGCGAACGTTGTACAGCCAGTTGCGAGAGCAAGACGAAGACGAGTGGCTCTCAACGTCTGAACAACATCGCGATAACATGTCGCCCACAGAAGGCTCGGCTCCAGTCGAGGCGGGCTTCACACCCGGCAGCCGATTTGCTGGAGGAGAGTCCAAGGAAATCGAAGCTACGAACAGCGCAGGAATTTCCATGCAATAGTCAGTGAGATATGAGGGATGATCGGGGCTAAGTGTATGTCAAAAGTTGCGAGTTTAGCTAGTACTAATGTAGAGCAAGTGAATCTCAAAGTTCTAGATAGATCGATTGAAGAAACTATTTTTTGTTTTAGACGTGGGTTTTGCTTGCCGATATTCGCTGCACAAGCATCTGTTTACGGAGCCCTGGCTCTGCTTTTTAAAAGCAGACTCGATTCGTTAGAGCCCAGATACACTGTACAGGCATGAGGCAGCTCAAGCAACGACGAATGTTTCAAAGCATCAAGCTCTCGAAGAGACAAGCAGGGCCAAGCATAAGTATCTTTCCCTACACCTAATCAAACTGCAAGCAACCATTGCCACAAAGTACCAAACCGAATCGTGTGCAATGGGATTGCTTTTGGCACACATGGATCAAGAAATGATAAGCTGCAGTTCCAACATGAGGATTATATATTATCATTATTGATTGCATGCATGAACGTCCGAGACAAGGGACAAAATCGAATTATGTGCACTGGGATTGCTTTTGCCCACGGATCAATGGAGCATCCCCGGCAAGAAATGATCAGGACCATGGTCATGGTGAACCAAATCCTCTGCAGCTCCAACTTGAACAGGATTATTATTTGTCATCATTGATTGCATGAGCAACTGAGCCAAAGAAACTTCAGAAGGGAGGGTTGGTGCTCCAGGAACTGGGCCTTCCATCATTCGGTTTTGGGATGAAACGCTCTCAGCAACAGTACTGCTTTGGTTAGCTGGAACCATGTCATTCTGGGGAGTCGGGTGCATGAAGGCCAAAGTAGGACCAGGACGATCCAAGGGAGCAACTTCCATCTCATTGTACACGATGTGTTCTGCAAGCTGTGGGTGGCCATGGAAGAAACCAGGATGGTAGAAGGCTGACAGTCAGGTGATTGGTCAAGCAAGGGTGTAGTGAGCTCTGGCTATCCAAAGGCAGGTGAGGAAACGGGAAGCAGAGAAGAACCTATCATACCGTACCTCCTTGATCTGGACCAGCTGCACAGCAAAAGGAGGACAACGAGACGACTTTTTGAGCTATGAACTCGTGAATGGCTGCATGGCACTGAAACTCATGAGTACGCTCATGTGAACTTACCATTGGTTAGACGCCGGAAACCAAATCGCCTGAGCTGTTCCAAGAAGTCATTCCATGACATTGCTTCCAAGAAGAGACTTGGTTCATGCAGTGACTTTAGTCTTCAAATGATAAATGGGATGATGGCTGAATCCATGGCTTCGTGTACGCAACAGAATGCACAGGACTTACACTGGTAACACTCTGTTGCAGAACTGCTCTTGGTTGTGGACCCTGAGGGCCCGGCCATGATCCTGAAAGGACACAATAGCTTCTGTGGTAACCAAAGCAAAGCAAAGTACATGAGGATGGTCCCTTCACCCTTATGATCACGCGGAATGTCCGCACCAAATCCAACCT